GGAAAGAGATGCAGAAGGTTCTGAAATCGTCTGCCGGCTGTGGTGGAATCCAGTAGTAATTTTATTGAATAAATTTTCTCTTTAGTATTTCAAGATGTTTTTGCGTATTATTGGTCAATATATCTGTTGAAATGAGATGTTAGTGTTATAATTCAGACAAAACGTGTCTAAATTATTCAATGAAACATGTCTCAATATTCGTATATATATATATATATAATATAATATAATATAAAAGCCTCAAACGCATAATTTATTATATTGGAATCGTAATCACGATACAATTCATCAGACCAACAACAAATTCAAAATTATATATATATATATATATATATATATATATGTGTGTGTGTGTGTGTGTGTGTGTGTGTGTGTATGTATGTATACTTATATATATAAATATACATATTTTACACACAAACACACACACTCTCACACACAGACACACATATATATATACAGTCAACGACGAAATTATTCATAGATTCATCAATTTTTAATATTTTTATCCATTTCTCAGAATCTAATGCCCATATGATGCCAGGTTTTTTCATGTTAATAAGCACAAAATAAGGAATATAAAACTCAATTTTCAGAACAAAAGGTTAAATACAACAAATTTGATAGGCGAATTATACAAGATAGGAGAAGATAAAATTATTCGTATCGTATGAAAAATAGAAAAAATTGAACACTCTTCACAAGATTAATAGTCAATATCATGGCCTCTCAGCTTTATAACTTACTAAAGTTTTTGATGAGGTTTGAACAAGTCTTTTCAGGGATTTTTTTGCATTCTTCAATTGTTACACGTTCTAAAGGATTTTGGTGACTAACTATTTATTCGAACTTTCAATTTTTGCCATAGATTTTCAATAGGATTCAAGTCGGGACTCACTGAAGGCCATAGCAGAACTGTAATCTTCCTTTTCTGAAGCCATGCAGCCGACCTAGATGAAGATTTTGCGCTGATAATTGTAGATTTTCATCCAGAATTTAGATATAGTCTGAAGATTTCATAATTCCTCTTATTGCAATTATCAATTAATTGTTCAGTCCCCCTTGAGCGAAAACAACAATAAAACATCATCGAGCCGCCCCCATGTTTTAATGTTGCCAATGTGTTCTTTGGGAGGAAAGTATCACTTTTCTTGCTCCAAATTTTCTGTACATTATTATGTCCAAAAAGTTCAATTTTTCTTTCATCACTCCATACTCCTAAAGCAATTTTCTTTTCCAAGCTGATACTAATCGCATCAAAACTTTCAAAACAAATCTTGGGTTTATATTAACATCACGAAACAGTTTTCGTGCAGTTCTCGGTGACAATTTAGGGGTTTTTCCACGCCCAGATAATTTCTCTGTCATGCCAAACTGTTTAAATTTCATTATAACGGACTGTACCGTAGATCTAGGGATAGCTGATTGGTTTAAGATAGTGCTGTAACTATTTCCCGACTTGTAGATGTTAATAATTCGTTGTCAAGTGAACACTAAGCGCTATTGTCTTTCCTATTGTGCTATTAACGTATGAAAAACAATGGCGACATGATGTTCTTTACTGGAATTATCACAAATATTCTACTGAATAAATAGTCTAGAAGGCTTCAGCGATAAAATAATTATGTAAATTAATTATACTTATATGAATAAATCAATTTAAAACGATATTTTCTACTGTACTAATAATTTTGTCTTTTCCTATTGTGCATAATTCGCCTGTCTAATTTACTGTATTTAATCTATTGTTCTGAAAATTGAGATTTATATTCCTTTTTTTGTGCTTAGTGACATATGAAAAATCTGGCATCATACGGGTATTAGATTCTGAGAAATGGATACAAATATTAAAAAATGATGGGTGTACGAATAATTTCTTCGTCAATTGTGTGTAGACATACGTGTATATATATATATATATATATATATATATATATATATATATATCATACTTATTATAAAACCCAGGTTGTGTGTGTGTCTGTTCGTTTATATATTGGATCGGATTTCCTACATTTTTCAACCGATTTCAACAAAACTTCACAGGACTACGTAAAATTACCTTGCAGTGGTTCTGACAGCGCCAAACATTGGAAAAACACAAATATTTTTGCACGAAATCAATTTGAAAACACGATTAAGAGGCATCACTGTCGCCAGAATAAAAAGGGGACAACTCATATCGAGTTATACTTATTATAAAACCCAGGTTGTTTGTGTGTGTGTGTGTGTGTGTGTGTGTGTGTGTGTGTGTGTGTGTGTGTGTGTTCGTTTATATATGGAATCGGGTTTCCTACATTTTTCAACCGATTTCAACAAAACTTCACTTTTTTTTGGAAGGTAGTGTTTCTTATTGTCTTGCACACTTTTATTTTTATTTTTACATTCAGAATGCTTTAAAAATTCCATTTACAAGACAATTGTTTATAATAAAATTCTATTCAATCGGTAGACTCATAACGATTGAAAACAATGTTTTTCTTTGAGTTTGGGTTTGACCAATTCATAGAAAAAAATAATAATAAAATAATTAAAACATGCGTGTCCGTCAACCTTAAACAATAATCCTTGTCAATTTTATTTTTCAGTCTTTATGATGGTCGATACTTGATCTATCTCTTACTGTTACATCCCCGGGCAACGCCGGGCTCTAGTGCTAGTATATATATAAACAAATATAAGTGTATACATACATATATTTATATGTATTAATATGTATATATATATATGTATGCATATATATATACATATATGTATTTACATGTATGTATGTATAGCTGCTCACTCGTATTCGATGATACCCATCTACTAGACATATTTATATTTATTCAACAACCACAGAGACCACCTATGGTTTATACTTCAATTATATAATATATGTATACATAGTGTATATATATATATATATATATATATATATATATATATATATATATATATATTAGATTGATAGATAGATATGTATACTGAGCAGACGTTAGTTACAGTTTCTGGGAAAGAGCGTGTTATCTAGCATGATTAACAATTTAAACTAGGCCAGCACGCTCAAGCGCGCTCAAGCACGCTCAAGCCCTCGGCCACGATGACTTGTGACTTCGTGCTAGCACAGCTATCGACGGCACCCAAAGCAACCGTCTACCGAATTTCACTCACAAGGCTTGGGTCAGGCACTGACCAAAGGTACCACACGCCGGGTTGGACCCCTCAAATCCAATAACATCAGAAAGTCTCATTCCTGCCAAATCGACCTGATACCTGGGAATGTCTATTTCAATTTTTATACCTTTAGACCAAAATTTCCTTTGTTTCCCTAATAGTCTGGACACAGGAAATTTCATTAATTTTATATATTTTTTTATCTCCACAAATTAAACATGGTTTAAATGTCGAAAAAAGAAAGAATTGACTTCTCTTTCTAGAATATGCTAAAGGAGAAGGTGTACTCAATGAAAATTACAGATGCAACACACTTGATTGAAGGCATGAAGAGTGAGTGTGCTAAAATTGGCGCCAATTTTGAGTTATTGAATTCACGTGAATCTTGCAAAGCGCATCAATCTTTGCATAAGAAATGATGGAAATCATATTGAAAATATCATTTGTTCATATTTCATTTCAATAAAATATTGTTGAAAATTTCATTTCTTGACTATATGCTTTTTTGTCCAAACTTTAGGGACACCATGTATATTTTATTAAACAAATTTACTTGGAAGAAATTGTTTGAAATATCAACTAAAAAAGGTGAACTAATTATTACATTTTTCAAAAAAAAAAAAATGTAACCATGAAAATATTTGTTATTAACAGATCTGTTTATAACGAATTTTTCAAAAGAACTTTCCACTTCGCATTTCAGAGTGAAAATAAACAGAAAGATTGCACAAAATGCAAATTGAGAACAGACGAGACGCGAGCCGAACAATGCTCAAATTCGAGTGCTAGAGAGATTGAGGACCTGTGAACTGTCGCGAAACTGCTTCAGGGTTTATCTCCACATTACTTCGATCGCACAGATTCAATAGAGTTTGAAGCGAGCGGACAATTCAAGTCTTGCTTTTTGGAGCTTTTCTCGATTAAAAAAATATTTTTTTAATCTATGATTTGAGTTCACGAATACGAAACTCCTGGATACGTGGAGCCAAATGATAGAGGAAAGGGGCTAGATAATAAATTGGCTCCGATGGAATTTAGGTCAACAATTAAGTTTTGCTCTATTTCTTAATTTGTTTACCCTATTTTTTTTTAACATTCTTCCTTTCCTTTTTTTACAGTAAGTATCACCCTGTACAAAGCCTGAGAGCCACTCTAGACAGAGGCTTACTTTAAGGGGTAGCTTATAAGGATAGAAGGGAAGAGAACTCTAGACTTGAACAGGCTAAGATTGTAATGATCAAGGAAATATCCTCTTGGCAGTGTTCTACAGAGCAGTGGTGCGCGAGAACTTACTCCTCGCCGATGGAATACGGAGGGAGTATGGGTGGTTTGCTACAATGTAAGTGACATGGCGGGTCCTAGCCATGAAGGTTAAAACAGGCAGAACCAAGGAATATAGTTAGTCTGATCACTTTCCATTGAAGTAGCGAGAGAACAGAGAGAGGCCCGCCATATCCCGCCTGTGAGTGAGAGAGAGAAGTTGGAGAATAATTAGTCACCCACGAGTCAGACACAGGGGGCCGATCATTTTACCTGTATCTTTAGTTATGGATCGTATATAGGAGTTCCACTTGAGTTTGAGGCCCAATATCCTCACAAGGCACGGTGCCTCCTCAATGGGACATCCGTTCATTGTGACTGGTGGTAGTTTGGGGTCAGATCGGTGATAATGGAATGTAACTAGCTTAGTCTTCAAGACATTGAATGTTCCTTCTCTAACTCTTTTTTTGTAAGAATTTCTGATGGAAAAGTAATATCCTGCTCAAAACCTCACTGAAAGAGAATGGCATGAAATGACAAAAAGATCCATGTTAAGCGTAATTTTTAAAATCCCATATCCCTTCATGGTATACGCTATCAAAACTCTTCTTTGAATTATCTGCGATAATGGCTGTCTGCAACTTCCATTTCGTTAATATGTTTGAATTGCTATGACATTGAGAAATAAGGCATACTCGTTGCTTCTCCACAATTTGGAATTCAAAGTTTTCCTTCTCCTAGACTGGTTGCCACTCACCGCTAAAGAGTCCAGTCTATTTTGATATTTAAGCCAGAGTTGGGATGAGGGGAATATATAGATTCATACATTTGATGCAGTGTGAATTTAAAAAAAAAAAAAAAAACTTGGCCGAAATTTGAACTCAGCACGCCTATTCCACTTTGCTCGTCGATAACAGTTACGCCACTCGCACCTCCCTTACCTCACCACTTCCAACAGCTACTTTCTTTTCTCTTCCCTGCTTTCATTTCTCTTGCCACCTGTGCTTTCTGTTATCGTCTTTCTCCCCCACTCTTGTTCTCACTTTCAGTCACCCCCACCCCCATTCCCACTCCCCTTCTTCCGACCGCCTTCTCTTTCATCAAAATGGCGAGTGCTCATTATTCAGACAATATCTTTAATTACAACAGAGCACGAAATGTAATTATAAGTACCATGTCTGTTGTTTTTCAGGTTTCTTTAATTATTGCGTTTTCGTTATGATCAACTGCAAATACGCCCATAATTCCCTTCACAAGAATAGCTTAGTAGTTAGAACAGCATCATGTTGGCCGAGGACACCGAGGTTCTATTCTAAATATCGGGTCTGTGCACGAAGAACTTTACCAAAAAGAAGACATTTTCAAGACAATATCAAAAATATAAAAAAATTAGTGCATGAGAAAAAGCTAAACTTACTTAGGTCTGGCACAAGGGCACGAGTACGAAGCATATAACTTACTACAGTAGAAATGATAAAAAGAAACCATTTTCATGTGTTTGGGTTTTATTAAAATTCTATAAATATCTTTATAAAACAATAAAAATTACCGAGTAAGTGTGACAGAGGATAGTAGTGTCAAGATGAAAACGGTCCCTTTGATACACAGTTTTTGCAGGTAGGATTGTTAAGCTTTTCTATAAAGATTGTTTAGATAACAGATTTGAACACGTGCAAACGAGCTGACTGACAGCAGATTATTATTACAGAATGTCCTCGGGTTACGTCGGACCCGACGTTTCGTGGTTACGGCGCCATCTCCCATAATATAATACGTTGTCACTCGGCGCTATATGAGGAAGAAGGCGTTGTTTCTTCACCGGCTGTACACTATATTGGATTTCGCTACATTTGCTATCTCACGTTTGTGCGTGGGGAATTTTTTGCCCTTTATTATGGCTCCGAAGCGTAAGGCAGACTCGTGGGGGCCTATGTCGAAAATCAGGTTACGTCGCGCCGTAGGAATGGATCTCCGACGTAAGTTGAGGACCACCTGTATTATTTAATATTGGAAAATAATCGCTCTTGTTTTTTTTTTTCACTTTGACAAAGTGAAAGGTAAAGGTCACCAAGTGAAGTTAGGGCACTAAATTAAAAACAGACATAAAACATTTGGGATTTCATCCTATTTCAGTAAAAAATCAGGATGCTATCAGATGTTCCCCAGATGTGTCTAAGATGGAACAAAAATGCGTACCCACCAAACAATGCGTACAAGTCATGCGCAAATTGCTCCACGTGTCTACTTTCTAGTTCAGACATTTGATGGTAACACATATCTCTTGGCTATTTGATTCTATGTGGTGAAGTCCTGTCTATGACGATAAACTACATCCGGCAGCAAGGCCTCTGATCGGAAGATTGGAGGTTTTAAGAAGTGTGGAACCACTTCTTAATTGCTGTTGTTCCTAGGTCCACCCTGACCCGTGGTAGTAGCACCTGTTAGGGTCCCAGCTATGGGCAAATAGTGAAGCCCCAAACCATAAAATTATTAAAATAGATTTAATTGTAAAACTTTTTTATGTAAAAACAATAACATCACTACCTATTTATAGTAAAATTAACAATACATTTTTAAAGCAACTTGACCAGCAATACATTTTATCTGTAGCTGAATGTATACAACTTCGTTCAAAATATATTTAATTGAAACCATAAAATTGTGTTCAAAATATTTACGTGGTTGATATGCCGCTAAAGAAAATCAAATACCAACATGAAAAAAACTCTTTCATGATATTAAGTCATTTAATATCCGACAATTTCTTAAATCAAACTGTATTCCAAAATATAATTTCAACCACACTACAATATAAAATACACATATCATTGTCTCTAGTAATTATGTCCACACAAACATGTATATGCACAAAAGTTGAGTATTATTTACCATGTATTCAATTGTGAAAACAGAATAACTTATCATATTTTTATTACTTCAAAGCTCCCAAGAAAATTAAATTTCGGCATTAAATGACCCATAAGGAGTTGATATGCCGTTAAACAAACAAATCAATCAGTATGAAGATTATGATTTCTTCTATGTTGAATATCATAGACTCCAAACGTTGTGACGTTCCGTTGCAAACAGGGGGAAAATACATCGAGAAAAAAATCATACAAACCAAAATAATTTCACAGATAATTCTCTTTAGAGTAAAAAAAAAATATCTTTTTTAATTTCTTGCAAACCTTGTAGGGTTTGGCGCAATTTGTTGTTTTTTACATGAATTAAATTGAGATTTAGATGGATTAACGCTTAGAGAATTATGTTTTGGAAGGTTTATTTTCTTTTGTATATACATACAAACTTGCATCTTTCTTGTGAGACAGAGTTCGTAGCTTGCAGTACATACACACACACACACACGCGTGCGCACACACACACACACAGAGAAAGAGAGACCTACCCTCTTCTTCAATTAGTTCTTTGGTAGTTAGTGAAGTGGACCGCTTTTTTTGGCGAAAGGGTAGAGAGAACTTACCTTTATGTCCTATCTTCTTGTGTTTATATTGAGGTCGGTAAGTGGTCGGTGAGAGCCCCGGCATTGTACTTCGCTTTGGTACAGGGTCTTTGATCTTTTGTTTTGGTGATACCAGAATCTGGTTTCATAAACTAAGTTAGTTGATTGAAATGTCCTTAAGAATGTTGGTGTTAATGTTAATGAGGTGTTAAGTAGGTGATGCTTTTCAGAGGATTTAAAAATGTTTTTACTTATTTTATTTATAAAGCTTTGCCTACTACTAAATTTCAAAGCGTAATGACTTATTACTATAAAATTAACACACACACACACACATATATATATATATATATATATGCCATAATTAAGTAATTCATCGAGTCTAGAAGAATCCTTACCAGAATGCAGAAAGAACTGGTCAGCCGCTTTGTCTTACCATGAATCGAACCAGGGCCGTTACGATATAACGCAAGCGTCATACTCACTCGACCAACGGGTTTCGGTGACGAAGAGGTAACAAAATAGATTCGATATAGCGCCTACTCTTCACAAATTCTGTTGTGTGACTCATCCAAGTCTACTTATACCAACGGACTGTGCCCCCATGAGCCACGTTTTCTATCCCCATTTTTTTTTGCATTCTGTAGAGGATCTTGGGGACAGCCAACTTCATAAAAGTTTCATTATAGTATTGGGATTAAACTTTTACTTCATTTTTCTTGTGTTCATATAAGTGTCTTCGTTTCTTCAGTGTGTAAAAATTGTCCAATAGTTTTCGGCTATTCTTTTAGCCACTATCAAGGATGTATATTTGTTTTTAACGTAATTTGTATATTTTTTTTATGTATGTTTCTAGAGTCATGGGAACGTTTTATTATTTTTCAAACACGGTCAGCACATCGTGGCTGTGTTTATAATTGATGTTATTGAGTGGAGTTGGACAATCCAGAAACGAAAACACTTATGACAATGATTATAAGGAATCTTTTCATTTATTTTTTTAGTTTTAGTTTTTTGTGTTTAGAAAGTATTTTTTAACTAATAAAAATAGTAAAAATTACGTTCGTATAGGTACTGCAAGCGAAACTATTTCTCTGCTCTCAAGACGTTCCGGAACCGATAAACTCCCGTTCTACAACTATGGGATAAATATCAACACCAATCTGCAATTAGACAAGCGTGGTAAGTACGGCTACAATCCTGAAGACATGGTCAATCAGGTCAACAGAAGAATCTAGATTTAGATTTGGAAAAAAAAAAGGTTGTTACGTCTATCTCTTAACTGAACTTCTTTGTACTTCTTATTTTACTTCTTTTCTCCCCTTTTCTTTCACTCATTTTCCCACACATTCTCCTTTTCTTTCTTTTTCCTCCATTCTCCATTTCTTTCTCTCTTTCTCCCGTTCTCCTTTTCTTTCGCTCTTTTACCGCATTCACCTTTTCTTTCTCACCTTTCCTTCCTCTCTTTCCCTTCTCTCTTACCCCATTCTGCTTTCCTCTCGCGTTTTCCCCACTCTCCTTTTTCTCTTCTTTTTTCTTCCATTCTCCGTTTCTTTCTCATTCCCCATTCTCCTTTTTTCTCTCTCTTTTCCCCTTACTCCTTTTCTTTTTCTCTTTCCCATTCTCATTTCCTCTATTCTACTTTTCTTTCTCTTTCACCCTCATTCTCCTTTTCACTCGCTTCTCCACATTCTCCTTTTCTTTCTTTCCCCCATTCTCTTTTACTTTCTTTACCTTCTCTCTTTTCCCCCGTTCTCTTTTTCTTTCTCTTTCTCCTACCCATTCTCCTTTTCTTTCTCTTTTCCCAAATTCTTCATTTTTCTTTTTTCCCCATTCTCCCTTTATTTCTCTTTTCCATCCTTTCTCCTTTTCTTTCTCTCCTTTCCCCCACTCTCCTTTTCTTTCTCTCTTTTCTCTCCCACTTTCCTTTTCTTTCTCTCTTCCCCTCCCCCACTCTTCTTTTCTTTCTCTCTTCCCCTCCCCCATTCTCCTTTTTCTTTCTGCTTTTCTCTTCATTCTCCTTTCCTTTCTGATTCCGTTCTCTCTTTTCCATTCTTTCTCCTTTTCTTTCTTTCTTTTCCCACATTCTCCTTTTCTTTCCCACTTTACCCCCCATTCTACTTTTCTTTCTCTCCTTTTTCCCCTAATCTACTATTCTTCCTCCCTTATCACCCATTCTCCTTTACTTTCTCTTTTTTCCTTCATTCTCTTTTTCTTTCTCTTTTCTATCCATTCTCCTTTTCTTTCTCTACTTTTCCTCATTCTCCTCTTCTTTGTTTCCCTTCTCCCTTTTCCAACATTCCCTTTCTTTCTCTTTCCCCTCCATTCTCCTTTTCTTTCCCTTCTGTTTTCTGCCCATTCTCCTTTTCTTTCTCTTTTCCGACAGTCTCCTTTTCTTTTCTTTTTTTCCTCCATTCTCTTTCTTTTTCTCATTTCCCGCAATTCTCATTTTATTTCTCTCCTTTCCTCTTCATTCCCCTTTTCTTTCTCTTTTTCCTCCCCGTTATCCTTTTTCTTTCTATCCTTTTTCCTCCTCATTCTCCTTTCTTTTCTCTTTTGCCCATTCTCTTTTTTGTTTCTCTCCTCCCCACCATCCTCATTCAATCATGTAAACCGTCTTTTTTACATTCTTCTCGTCATATAAAAATCTTTCTTCCTCTTTAATTCTTTCTCTTTCCTTTGACATTACCCCCCCCCACCCATACACACACCAACACACCCTTCATAGCTACTATTTTACTTATTTCTTTCTAATTTACATCACATTCTCTTTTTTCACCTCCTTTTACTCATATAATTTCCATTCTCCTCTTCCCTTTTCCACTTTTTACCCACCCGCTATATTCTATCCTGCTTTTCCCCCACTCCTTTCTTCCTGCTTCATCCTTCCTTACAGTCTCTCTTTTTTCTTTTTTTCTTTTTTTTTTCCTACTCCTGGTTCACCATTCTTACGTTTTCCTCTCCTTTCTTTTCGTTTACCTTATCCTCTCCAAATTAATCGTTCTCTCCTTCCTTTTATCTTGCTTATTCCTTTTTTACCTTCCCGCCTCCTTTCTTTCTCTGTTTTGTTTGCAGCCTTTCATCATTGTCCAATAAAGTTCATTTATTTACTTTATAATTAAACTTCATTGTTCTTCTCCGTCGGCCTATCATTTCCATAATCAAATCTTTCGTTTGTGAATTAATGTGTTTATTTTCCATCAAAACACAAGGCATCTTTCTCCTACAAAGATATTTTCGCCACGATACAATCGACGATGTTAAATAAAGGTGGTGATGATCTCAAAATAACTCAGCCGTGTAAACATTTTCTTCTTTTCCGCAATGCCAATAATGTCAAGTTTCCAAAGAAATAATTTATTCTTCTTGTTATTGACTTTTCCCCCTTTCTGCTATCAACAAAGATGGCTGAACATAAAGAACTCGTTGGGTCCCATGAGACAAAGTTTAATTTATCTTCTTTAAAGTTTCTGGAAACAAAGGAAATTAAGCCATCTCGATCTATAATGTACTTTGTTTAGCATCTTTAATACAGCAACATTTTTTTAACCAATTTACTCCAAGCAAGGCAATAATGTCACTAAGATGCTACTAGGAGTGAAAGAGAATGAGAAGAGAGGAACCGGTAGCCCAATCCTAAACAGGAAACAAGGGATAAACCACTACTCCTGTTCAAAAGACCGAGCATTGTGAACCGGTCAATAGATGAAATTATCTATTCCCATTGAAGGAAAAAAATAAAAATTAAGTAGCAAATAAAATTTTAGAGTTTATGCAGAGACGTTAGAAATAGAGAGTTGAGGTAGACTTTAGAAGGAACCGGAAACCCAATCCTAAACAGGAAACAAGGGATAAACTTCTACTCCTGTTCAAAGGACAAGGAAGGAGTATGGCTCTTTTACATATAGATTATTGTTGTGGTACGATCCACCTAATTTACATAGTGGGGTACCGACCATATAAATATGGTTGGTACCGGGAAGACGGGGGTGAGGAAGAAGAGATCCAATCCAGAGACTCTGCCCGACTGCGACTAACTTAACCCATTCTACAGGAACGGTCTTCCCAAGAATATACCAAACTATCTGTAAATATTGTGTACACGTTCTTGTGTCAATACATTTTGTTTAAGTACATTTTGTGTTGTATTATTATTATTCCATGTTTTATTCAAGTTTCAACAATTATAAAAATTATAAATTCGGGTCCGATTATTTTTAGAAAAAAATGACTATTCCAATTAGGATTTTATTTCTAATTATTAGCCTAATTGTTTATAATTTTACTGCATGTTGACTTTTAAATATTCTTACAACCTTTGCAGAACTTTAATAATATAGCAGTGGGTATAAGGCTGAATAAACAGATGTGGCAATGCCTGAAATGAAGCTTTCCAGCCTTGAAAGTTAAGGAACATTTAGACGTCCTTGTAGGCGATGAATTATTTTCAGCCCTACAGTTCGTTTTCCCCAGAGGAAGCGCCGCAATCCTCTCGCTATGTTATTGCTATTTTCATGTCAAATTCAAATGAACTAAATTCCTTAGTTTCACCAGTTTAGACCTTTACTGCTAAGACCCGCTATACCATGTACACGGGGTCGAATCATCCTCTTTTCTTTCGTATTCCATTGGTAAGGAGTAAGTTCGACACAGAAAGCTTCTTCCCGACAAACGATACTTCGTGGAGCCGATTCTTCGGGAAACGCTTCCCCGATCACTACGATATTAATCTCTTCATGTCTAGGGTCAACTATATATCCTATATATCTTCATCATTTGAACCTACTTCCTCCTCTTTGTAATAGAGAGAAGTATATACCCATACACCCACATGAATGCACAAACGCAAATATAACTTTTATTGACTGGAAGTGGAAATGGTGTTTATATATCAAAGTACAATTTGGGTTAAGATGTGTGTTTAACGATGAGAAATACGATCTCAGGGCAGGAGGCGATGTTTAAACCTGGGTCACTAGTAAACAATGAGGATAGGCGAGATTGTTTAACAATATTTGTTTTGATCAAAAGGTTGAATCAATGTTTAGATATCCCAAAGTATAATTTTGGTGAAGCGAGAAATTGAGATAAGATAAATAATTTGAGAATAGATTTACATGTCAAGGGATAGTTTTTTGGCAGTCGTGGTAGCTGCGTGCCGGACCGAGGATCAATTGTGATCAGCTGATCCTTTTTCTATATTAACTCGAGTTTTTGCTAATAAAAGAGTCGGGGGAAGAGATTGTAGTCGAGAGAGTCACGAGACTATCGTCGCAGTGAGTCGAGAGATTTCCGGGAGAATTTTGGAGGAGAGAGAGAAGACTGCCCCCTGTTCTGAGAAGTCTGTATGAGACTGGACTATTAGTCATAAACTTACCCCAGGCGATTCAATACGCGTTTATCACACACAAACCCTCTCTCTGTTGGGAATTCGCTGGATGCATTTTGTCTTTTTCTTTTCTCATTTATGTTAAATGTTTTTATTCTCCCCGTAACCTCTGTTCTGATGTTATATAAAAGACGTCAATATCTTCCCCATTGTTGTCTGGCTTCTGCAGATATTATTTCTTGATTTATTTTGCCACATTCTAAAACTTCCTAGCGCCAACTCTCACAGCCGTGTCCACATCCCCAGTCGACCGTGAACGTATGGACAACACCCCGCTTACTGGATCTGAAAACTAAACAGCGTGGGCAGCGAGCAAGACTTGACCAGTTGACCGGTCGAAATAATCTACGGGTACTCAGGGAGCGTACGGCCAGTTACCCCTAAGTTCGGTTTGGACCGAGTGGACACCTCAACCCAAAGAGGAAGACGCCGGAGGTTGAGGGGCTGGGGACGAAGCATTCTGACCATGAGGCCTGGGTTCGAATCTCATCATGGTCGATTTGTCAGGAAGGAAACTTCCAGATGTTATTGGACTAGAGGGGTTGATCCCAGCATGCGACACCTTTGGAAAGTGCCTGTAAACCATACCCAGAAACTGTAACTAAGGTCTGCTCAGCATAGTTGCAGTATAAACCACAGGTGGGCTCTGTGAGTGTTGAATAAATACAAATGCGCCTGAGAAAGCGTCTGCAACAGGGATTGGTTAGCCGCTCTAGTAGACGGGTATCCTCGAATACGAGTGGCCAACTATACATTCATTATCGCTCTACCTTGAGTGGCTCTAGTGTATTGTATGGGGTGAACATTTAGTAAAAAAATATAAAAGAAAGAACATTGCTGATGACCAACTCAGGTAAAAAATTTATTATCTTAATCGCAACCAGAATCTGATATTTAGCTATTTGAACAATCTGAACACAATTGGTTTTTGGTTACTTATAAAGTTGCAGTTGCCGTAACGGTCAACAGCGTGGAAAATGGAATCGATAAGTAGAGTTCTAATTCCGGCTCAGTCAATGTTAACTTCGCATTAATTGTCATTCCAAAGGGCATGATTCATTAACTTCTTCCTCATTTAGTCCAGTATGTTAGCCTTGGTTGGCAACTAATCTAGGAGAAAGATTACTCTGAATTCAAATCCAGGGTTTGATTAATGTTAAGTTACTCTCTTCTTCGCGTTTCCACGGGTAAGAAGGGATTCAAAAGATTGATCGGGCCCTTGATTTGGTAGGAACAGGAAAGTGAAAATTCGCTAAATTAGAGGGCGTTAGAGAAAATTATTTTCTAGCGATTGTGAATCTGCAAGAATACGTTCTGGCAAAATGTCGGCGTATTTCTCATAAGCTGACAACCGAAAAAAAACTTGGACACAAAATAAGTACCATCTGTCTATCTCATGAAATAAAGGTAGCGCCTTGTTTGGTCAAAATTCAACCCTTTGCTAATGAGACAGGAGTAGCCTCTTCAGGGCGCAGGCCCGGCCGATGGTGTATAAAGGCTGTCTGCTGCCCAAAATAAATGACACCACCCCACCTCTCAGACATAGCGACGCTACATAATCTAACAACTGATTAGTGTAACGTTTTTGTTATTAAAATTCTAAACATAGCTTTTTAAAACAAACCTTACCGAGGGAGTATAGAGTAATAGCGGTCTCAAGAGAAAAGCCCTCCTTTTGAAACACTGTTATTTTTTTTTGGGGGGGGGGTCTGAAGATTAAACGTTGCCCCAGTTTTATTTATTTATTGTAACTCGATCATATCAGTTTTAATGAACATATTAAAAAACTTTCAAACTACTCATACGTCATCTATTATGTGTTTAAAAAGTGGCAGTTTTAGGGAATATATATATATATATATATATATATAGGGGGGATGTGTGTGTGTGTGTGTGTGTGTGTGTGTGTGTGTGTGTGTGTGTGTGTGTGTGTGTGTGTGTGTGCAAATATATTGATAAAATAGGAAAGAACCGTTAGATTGATGATCCGAAGTTCTTTAGTATTTATGTTTTTATTTTTAAAGAGTGCTCGATGCACAAGTAGAGCCTACATTATGATTATTTTTTTTAATGAACAACATATACCTACCTTATACAAAACCTAACACTAACCCCTTGTATGTACACCCGAGGTCAAACCATCCTCCATCCACAATTAAGCAGATACCCTCATCAATAGACAAAAGAATCGGCATGAACTCCACAAAGAAAGAAATATTCCAAAAACACAGTAATTTTTACAACAAAGCTCTAAAAAATAGTGGGTACAAACACGATAACATCAATTATATCAAAAAACAATAGTACGATCCAGAAGAAAAACAGAAAAAGAAAAATCATTTGTTATCCCCCTCACTCCCTTTCAACCAAAGGGTCAGCAATAAGCTAGGACAAAAATTTCTAGCTTTAATTGAAAAACACTTTCCTACTGACAGCAAACTTAGCAAGATCTTTAATAAAAACACACTAAAATTAAGTTACAGCTGCACTGAAAATCTAGAAAGAATCATAAAAAACATAATAAAATCTTGAAAAAACACGCATGCCAAAATCAAATAAATAAAAAAACCTAAATTAAAATTAGACAAAAATAATGAAAAATTATGTGATTGTAGAAACCCGGAAAATTGCCCTTTGGATAATAAATGCCGCATAGAATCTGTAGTATACCAATGCACAATCTCATCCATCGAGAATCCAAGCATTG